GGGTGGGGGGAGGAGGACACCTGGGGCTCCCATCCTGCACCAAAACACAGCACAGATCTGCCCCGGAGCGAGGAGGTGCAGATCCTCTCCTACTCAACACCGCCACAGATCCGCAGCGGAGCGTGGCTGCCATAGGGTGGTGGAGAGGGGGAGACACACCAATGGCCCCCAAGGATCGATTCCCCAGATCTGGGAGGTAAAAACCGTAGTATAATCATACATTTGGGGCACTATGCACTAATTAAAGTGAGCTATACACACAAAATGGATGAAGGCTATAATATAATGATGATTGAAAGTCAAACATAAAACGATAATATCACAATTCCATTTAGAGGAGTCTAAAAACAAGTAAAATTAATCTTTGCAAATAGAAGTTATGAGAGTTTTCTTTGCGGAGAAGGAAGCAGTCACAGGAAGGAGCCATAAGGGGATTTCTAGGAGGCTTACAATGTTTCCTTTATGCTAATTATGTGAATGAGCAAATTTTGCTACTACAAAAAATTAAATTGCACATTTCTGCTGTCATAGAATCTAAATAAAAAGAGATTATACACTTAGAATCCACAGCAGTGCTTTCTAATACTAACAAAATTAGAGGTGATAAACCCCAAATAAATGTGTCCACATGTAGATTTTATATAATTGGATTATATTCTCTAACTTCACTTGAACACTTGCATTTATCTTTCTATTGTCCCCTTAGAGTTTCCTGCCCCAGCCACCATATTTCGGAACACATTAACGTAAGTCTTTCTTTGAGATATAGCACTGATACTTATTCTAATCCACAAGTGTTTTTAGAAACAATGTCAGGGACAAGCAGATGAGGGAGACGGACTCAAAGAATAAATAATCTCATGCCAGGAAAAGAGCAAGACCTGAAAGCTACCAGAACAAGCTGAGGGCTGAGATGGGCTAGACTTAGGATCTGCACTTGGGGGTCCAAAGTACACCAACGTGAGACCAAATGACCGCCCCGATCCATCGCCCACAGGGATGCCTGTTAATGCCACATCCCTAACAGAGCCTGAGTCCTTGCCCACAGAGCAAATGCGGTTACACTCAAATTCCCAGCATGTTCAGTGTGGTGTGTGAAAACTCACGGGCTAACTCTAAAATTCACAAGGAGATGTACATGGCCAGGAGTGGTCAAAGCAGTTGAAGAAGGGGAACAAGCTGAAGGTTTACATATGAGCTGAGCACACCGAAGGTTCATATACAAACTGACCACGCTGAAGGCTTATTTATATACTAGCTGACCACGCCGAAGGCCCATATACTAGCTGACCTCGCCGAAGGCCCATATACTAGCTGACCTCGCCGAAGGCTCATATACTAGTTGACCTCGCCGAAGGCTCATATACTAGCTGACCACGCTGACTACAGAGCTATGATAACTCCGACTGTGGTGGGGATGCAAAGGTACAGAAACTGACCATGGTACAGGATGAGACCTAGTGGAGGCCCTTCGCATGCTGTTCACTGACTTACGACGTCCGTAATGCGGTAATTGGGGGAGAAGAGACCCTGCAATAATCGCTCGTCAGTTAACTGAACACCCTCACGGAAAACTATGTAAATATGTCAATCCCGATCTTACATAACACAAAAAGGCACCAGTACCAGAGAGGCTGGAAACCTAAATATGTGAGGTAAAATAGCAAAGCTTTCAAAGGAAACCAAGGAGAATATCTTGTTTTGGGAGTAGGAAAAGATTTACTAAAC